GAATAAATCACAAGGCGAATCAAGAGATCTTTGGATATACCATGTACAAACACATGGACCAGCCCCCCAAAAATATGTTATACAAGGATCTTTTTTTGATCTACAAATTATCGTATCATCCTCAGATTTGTTACATTAAAAAACTTGTTTTGGAGCTAAAAGAATTGCTCCAAATCAATTCTCCCTGAAAACCTATCCATCCATTTTGATGGAGGACTACTTTAGGATATTAAGAGCTACAAAGCAGTTTTTGAAATTGAATTTTTATGGGATATTAACGCTAATGTCCCCATTTAATTATCATAACTAAAGCATGGTCCGATTTTATCTATTTTATGCCAAAGTCATACTTTTCCTACCTTTTTATCACTTTTTACTGCATTATTCAAAATAATTTATATCCATCATAATCCATGGAGCTATCAATCTTACTTCAAATGGCTAGGAAAGAATTTTTGAGGTACTTGTTTCCCTTTCTCATCTATATATGGATGAGAGTCATGATAAGCAACAAATTCTTTTTATTAAATTGTTGCTTAATTGTGTGATTCTTCTTGCTGAAGGGAGCCTTCATGTCATTATCAATCAAAGTATGCCTCTTTCTCAACTTGAATTCGGAAAGAAAAGAATCACTAACTATTACATTGGTTTTCTAATTAAAACTACATGAGTCTTAGCAGGCGTAAAATACAGTGAATATGGAAGTGTGACCGAAGAACTCAATGAATTTTCTATCGAATCCAGTAAATCTAGAAGCAACGTCCTAGATCAGCTTAATCTCATCTCATTGTTGTACTCCCTCGAGCGACAAATTCTTTCAAAGAACTAGCTGCTTTAACTCTTATGTGTTTCATCTCATCATTATCAACCAAACTTGGTCCTTTTCTCAACTTGAATTTGGAAAGACAAGAATTACAATATGCTGCACTAGTTTTCTGCTTACCTCTTCTTTTCTTCTTGGTACTAGGAATAAGAAGGCTTCATCTGAGATGGTCTTTTTAGTGTCATTGGTAATAGCAGTGCTTCCTATTGATGTCATTTTGTGAGGCTGTCCATCCAACTAGGGTTCATGAAATCTAGGTTTTCTCTATGAGTTGGGTTTGAATTGGGGTGAGTGCCTTCTCCTAGTGTTTATGGTTCATTCTTAAAAGTGAAAGCATGTCTAATGACAAGAGTGATGATACTTCTTTCTCCAAAATGAAGCCAAACAAAATTTAAATTATATTACGTAAACGATCTAACCAGTAATAGCAGTTGACAAGGGACTGCAACCTGAAACACGATCATTACCCATTACTGAATTTGATGGTTTTTTAAAAATTTCAAACCAATGATTCCCAAAGGCCAAAAAGAATAGTCAGTGATTCTTACATTATCGAAAATTGAAAACTCAGAAGGTCACTGAGTCAATAGTTGCGGTATATGAAAACTAAAACATGTTGCCAATGGCAGCTAACATTGGAGAGCAATCTACCATTTCAGGAAGCAATTTTGTTCCCATTGACTCTAAATGATTGCCTCATATGCGAGCTTTTTTTTGAAGAGAAGCCTCCTGAGATTTTAGTTTCAGGGCATATGTATTGTTATATAACCGACCCCAGGGAAAAAGCTATGATGATGATCATGATGCTATATGCATTGTTGTGTTTTGTTACCTATCAAAGAAGATCTTATAATGATCATTAAGGAAATCTGATACACAATTGCCAAGTCTTTATCTTTGGAGGTATTAACTTTAGGAATCATTTTGTTCTTTAATTAAGAAACCACCAAATGCTAAAAGCGAAAAGAGTGCAAGAGTGGGAGAAATTTAACTAAAAAAGTAGAGTTTTATTTGAGGTATCATGGCAGATTAACTCTCCTCCTTAGATCACCCTTCTGCTCATGAACTCCAGGGTTTCTTCTCTATTCAGTTTGAATCCAATCTCTTTCTCAACTATAATTACAAAAAATAGGAATTACCATCTATTGTACCAATTCTCTGAATAATTCTTCTCCCAATAATGGGGATGGAAAGGCTATCATCTGAGATGATCCTTTCAGTATCATTAGTAACGATAGTGCTTCTTGAACATTGCAAAGCTCTCAAATTTTTAGAAAAAAAAATTTCCGCCCACCTCTATTTTCCTCTCTCTGCTCACAAATTCTAGGTTTTTTCTGTATGAAGTTGGTTCTAATTGGGGTTAGTGCCTCTTCAGGATATTATGGATTACTTGGGTTAAAATGCCCAAGGTCAAGTGTGATGATACTTCTTTCCCTAAATTGAAGCAAGTAGTAGAAACCCTAGATTTCATGAGCAAACGAGAGGAAACCATTCATTCCATGATCTGAAACCCTAGATTTTGTGAGCAGAAAGAGGAAAACCCTCTTTGCGCTCATGAAACCCTAACATTTGTGAGTGAAATAATGATGTGAGGACGTTGTACTACTCTTGATTGGAATGGAACCTACGACTAGTGTCTTCACAACCCCAGGTTGGCCTCGGCTCCTCCCTCTTTTTTTCGCTTTTTTGTTTAAGGGATGGAGTAGTTCAAACATTATATGTCTGAATTGACTAATTAATTAGATGTCTAAATCGATTAATTAATGAAATAACTTATTCAAATATCAAAAGTTCAAACTATCTTTTTTTTAAAAAAAAAAAAGAAAAAAAAACAAGACAAGTAGATGGATAAGATGTTTTATTTCTAAAACGATTCACATACCCAAAAAAAAAAAAAA